GAGAAAGCATTGTTGGTGTTGTTAGTTGCGAAGTCATGTCCGACCCATCGCGACCCCATGGACAACATTCCTTCAGGCCTTCCTGTCCTCCACCATCCCCCAGAGTCCACTTAAGCTCACACCAACCGCTTCAGTGACTCCATCTAGCCACCTCATCCTCTGCCGTCCCCTTCTTCTTTTGCCATCTTTTGTTCCCAGCATTAGGCTCTTCTCCAGGGAGTTCTTCCTTCTCATTAGGTGGCCAAAGTATTTGAGTTTCATCTTCAGGATCTGGCCTTCTAAAGAGCAGTCAGGGTTGATCTCCTCAAGGACTGACTGGTTTGATCAAGAAACTCTCAGGAGTCTCCTCCAGCACCACAATTCAAAGGCCACAATCCTTTGGCGCTCAGCCTTCCTTATGGTCCAGTTTTCACAGTCATACATTGCAACTGGGAAAACCATAGCCTTGACTTTGCACACTTTTGTTGGCAGGGTGATGTCTCTCCTTTTTAGTATGGTGTCTAGATTTGCCATAGCTTTCCTTCCCAGGAGCAAGCGTCATTTAATTTCTTGGCTGCAGTCCCCATCTGCAGTGATCTTGGAGCCCAGGAAAATAAAATCTGTCACTACCTCCATTTCTTCCCCATCTATTTGCCAGGAAGTGAGAGGACCGGATGCCATGATCTTGCTATTCTTAATGTTGAGTTTCAAGCCAACTTTTGCACTCTCCTCTTTCACCCACATCAAGAGGCTCTTTAGTTCCTCTCCACTTTCTGCCATGAGAGTGGTATCATCTGCATATCTGAGGTTGTTGATATTTCTCCCAGCAATCTTAATTCCAACTGAAGATTCATCTAGCCCTGCCTTTCTCATGATGTGCTCTGCATATAAGTTAAATAGACAGGGCAACAGTATACAGCCTTACTGAACTCCTTTCTCAATGTTGAACTAATCAGTGGTTCCGTGTCCAGTTCCCACTGTTGCTTCTTGACCCGCATATAGGTTTCTCAAGAGACAAATAAGATGGTCCGGTACTCCCATCTCTTTTAGAACTTGCCACAATTTGTTGTGATCCACACAATCAAAGGCTTTAGCATAGTCAATGAAGCAATGAGAAAGCATACCTCCTCACTTTTTCTGAAGTTTGGGCAATTTTATAAGTTTTCATCATTAAATAACTTGGGCTTTTCACTAAAATAAAATGCCCCAATTGTTTTGCATAAGAAAGGATCTCCAGATATCTGTTCATCATGATTTCCCCAGACTATCCCTATATATCTACATCAACACTGACCAATACTTTTCATACTGACAGAACCTATTCTGTTTTCTTGGCAATCGCAAAGAACTGGCCCATCTGTTAAAACCTTAAAAACCAAAGTGGCTTGAAAAGAATTTTTCAATAGATACGTTGGATTTAACCAAGCATGATAATTAACTCTTCAGTGCTTTAAAAAGATAATTTTGTGTGTCCCCCCTTTCGCTACGTGGGAAAGTCCACTATCCATTGGTTTCTCCTTTTTGCCTCAAATAGAGAGTGTTTTCTCCACCTAAACTGGGATGTCATGACTGTAGGGAAACCCATGATTATGAGTTCTCTGCCTCCCCTGTGGTTTTGCAGTGCCTGCAGTCCAGTGTTAGCTGAGCAGCATGGAGCAAAAGTTGCCCCGGTTTGGTGCAGAATTACTTGGCTGGCCATCGAAGCTGTGATTAACAAACTGATGTGGCTTCTCTGGTCTTGGGTGGCACACAAAGCCCAAGGCTTGGTGTCAGTAATTGAGGCCTACATGTGTACATTTAGTGCTAGTCCTCTGAGAACAAAAACACAAAATATAACCCCAATCAGCTGTAGCGCATACAGTAATCACAGCCATATGTCTCCAGGGCAAGTTATATCTTTCGGGAATTGAGGGAGAACATGGATTTGTCTAAAAAGTAACCCAGTTTATCCATCATTGTGTCACTCCTTGAACATAAGCAAGAAGGCCCAGATTTAAGACTTTGCAAAGAACTGCTCAGGCAGTAAGGAACATGGTACATATTTAAGCCCAGTCTCTTCTCAGAAGGTCTTTTGAGAATGGCAGGTGCGAAACAAAGAGGATTGTGATGGGATTGCAGGCAAACACCATCTTGCAAAATTAAAGTTCTAACCCTAATACCAATCAAATGTTCCAGAGAGAGGAAACAACAGATTGGGAGCTCTCTGTCACACAGCTAAGTTTCAGCCACCCTGGAACATGGTCCTATGTGTGAATTATGGGGTATAAGCAAGGGCCGTGTAATTGTGCGGACTTGGTTTTATGTATAGCACAGTTTGTGTATTCTTGGAATTCCAAGAATTCCATCTCTTTTTGGAGTGGCTGATATATTTTCAGATGTAGCGGCTAACCCCAGAATAGAGCTGCCACCTTTCAACAGGCCCCATGGCCTATTTTGAGGAAGGCCAACAGTTTTCCCTCAGTCTCATTACTCTCAGTTTCATAACAGCCTCCATTTCACCTGGGGAGACACCAAATGAGAGGGAGCAATAAAAGAGGATTAAGAAATATCTTTTTGTCTGCTGTTCGTAGGGAGAGTTAGAGAGCAAATGTGGAGGAAATTCTTCAAAAGTGTGTGTGTGGTGGTGGTGGGGAACTCATGACTGTCAGGAGAAGCAGGATAGTTACCACTTTTCTTTTTTTCCCTCTGCTTGACAGTTACCAGGAATGCCAGAACACCAGAGATATACCATCACTGGGGCATTCTGGAAACAAAATGGCAGCTGCAATTAGGCAACTCTAAAAGGAAGAAGAAAATGGCTATATCACCACTTTGTGAGCAATTTTACCCTCTGATATCATCAAAGTGCTCCCCTAATTTACCACATGATGAAGGAAACTCCCCCTCCCTCTCTTTTTAGGAGTGCAGGAGAGGCAAATTTCAGACAGCTTTAGTGATGCTACACAGTCTAGTCCTTTCCTGCCAGCAACATATACGCCAAATGTTCCTGTTTACAGGGAAGTCCTTAATTTCTAATATGTGTCCCTGGTAAACATTGGCCTGGTTTTGCCTTTTGGGGACAAATATCTTCAGTGTAAGCATGCTGGGACTGCAGCCAGGAGGACTTTTCCTGGGAAGAAGAGGAAGGGAGAAAGCACCCCTTGTTCTGCAAAAGGATGCAAGGCTGTGCACAGTTCCTTCTAAGTAAACAGATGTATGATTTATTTATTTCCAACATCTATATAACTGCTCCACATCCAAACAACTATGAATGATAAAAGACAGAAAGAATAAAACAATGTTCAGTCCACACGCATCCATTCTATTCAATAGTCCTAAGTTTTCCATAAATCGCTTTGAGTGAGCTTGCTAACGTTCCTTGCGTCTGAAAATGGCACAGGAGACGCCATCTTGGTTCACAGGTCCACTATGAAAGAGTCATTTTATAGTATAGCGGGGATAGGTAGGCAATGGATTTCAGCATGGCTGATGGCCAGACATAGTGGGAGTCCATCCTAGTTAGAGATGCCCCTGCCTTTATGCAGAGGAAGCAGAGAAGAGCCTGTTACTGCATATGATAACATGGGCAGGTTCAAGCACTGCTCCTTCGTGTGGCGCAGGGTTGTTCCAGGTGCATAAATGCTGCCATCTTCCTGTAAGAAGTTGGAAGGTATGCAGAGCTCCGCCCTTGTCTGCTGTGAAGGACACAATCAACGTAGGGCACCATTTAAACGAATTTAATGGCCTGAATCAGGGGTGTTGAGCTTCTTGCAGCTTTCAGGAAAGCTCTCCAGGAGCATTTCTGTGGTGGACAACTGGAAAAGCAAACCAGCAGCATTTTCACAAGAAATAAGCGAGTAAAGGAAACCTTGACTACACGTGTGTACTGGCAGTATGCAAAAAAAAAAAAAAAAAAAAAAAGCAATTCCACCAAACAGAATTAAACTCAAAGTTTTATAGTTTTCCATCTCCAATTAAGAATTTTATCATTAATCCCCTCCTATTCCCCTGGGCACCTCTTACTAGTCTAGGAATTTTATCTCTAGTTGAATCGCATCTAGATGTCCAGAGCAAGATCAAAGTTCATTCTTGACCCTTCCATGCCTCAGTGGTTATCTTCTCACCAATGTCTTCACAATTTGTGATGGAGTTGCTATCTAAATTACGCAGCCCTTTGATCCAACAACTTCTGCACCATCGTTTTACAGATTTATTTTCTCTTATCAAGACAGAGGAGCAAACCAAGAAGTATTTATGGTCTTTCACCCAACGTAAGTTGTAATCAGAATTTTGATTTTCAGTTTGTGTATATAATATGATGAGCACACTCCACTTCTCTGAAGGAGCACTTATCCCGGGGCTTTGGTTTCCTTTAATGAGGCCATTGCAGAGGTAAGGAGTTTTGTAATGTTTGTACTGATTTACAAACATGCAGGTTGGGCTTAGGCAGAGGCATCGCAACCGGTCCACTCCAACACACGTTCATCAGAATTCCAGGGTGCGGGTGGCAGGACGGCAGCTTCAGTACTCCTTAGAAATCCCCGGACTATCTCAGCTACAATGACTAAACAGTGTGATTTGCTCTAAACTATCTGACTAACAAAGTCCATAGCTGGCAGGATGGAGAAGGTAACCTTCTTTTTCTAATAGGGTCTAGGCTTCCAGAAGAGCTCAGTTAGAAATAGAAGTCATTGTAACAAGGAAAGGCACTTGACAAAGACATAAGGAAATTTCCAGCAGTCAGATGGTTGGTTTCACTAATTTCCTCTTGTCTAGACCCAATGTTTACATTCATGGAATCACTAAGTTAGAAGACACCATGAGAGCATCCAGCTCAAGCATATTCCATCTCATTCTATTTACATATTTTCACTATCATTTTCCTCCTAATGGTTCATGTATTGGTTCTTCTGGGGATGATATTGTTCTTGGTTCAACACAGTCTATATCAGCCTTCCTTGATTAAATCAGGTATATAATGAAATATTCAGTCTCTATGGTAAAATATATTTTCCATTTCTTCATAGAAAAAAACCCCAAGCATGAAGATTCTACTTCTGCTTATAAATATCCTTGGAATAGCTATTGCTTCTCCGGTAAGTGTACAACAGATGAGGAATACTAATATCTGATGATTAAGGGCACACACCTATGCATTTTTACAAAGGAAAACATCCTACAACTTCTGCCATAGCTGATGGGAGGTAAAGCCTGACATTTCTATAGAACTACTTTTTTCCCACCCTGGATTGTTGACTATCAATTCATACATAGCATAACTCTAGTTCTCACTGAAGCACTAAGTGCTCTATGCCCCTCGAGATTTTTGGTGGGGATCATGTGATGTTTGTACACGGAAATTTTCTGCACATAGAAAACTAGCATGTTAGGGACATGTATTCTAGCTTAATCTTCGTTTGACTGCATTCTTTCTATCTAACAATATTGTTGGAAGCTGTTTGGGACTTCCACTTCCAGAAGTCCATGACAGCATGGCTGGTAGTCAAGAATGCTGGGAAATCCAGAACATCTGGAGAGACACTTAATATGTCTCTAGTGCTCTCAATGGGCACTTTATTGTAAATTTTGTTTCCTGAAGGTAGAAAGCTTGGAAAGCACTGGGGTAATGCAAAATACATATTCAACAGTGCTCCTCCCAGAAGAAAATTTAGGCACTTGGGATTCAGAGGAAAGGAATGGAGATATTAAAGATAGTGCTGTGTGAGGAATCTGGTCAGAGTGGTCAAAATCTGGTGGATTGGCCTGGCTTGGTCCCCTGGATCCTGGCCCATTCACTCACTTTGATGTGAATCGAGCCAGCATGTTCTCTTGCGCTTTTAAGGCAGGCTGAAGTTTGTGTATTTTGGCTTTTCCAAACCAGGGAAAACAGAGAGCTTAGGCTATTGGGCCATGTAGAAGTTAAATAAATACATTTTCATACGCTTTGCTCACAACTTGAGTACATTTTGGCAAAAATTTTCACGATTCACCCAAATTGCCTCTGAACTTCATGCAAGTTGAGCCCAATATTTATGCAAATCCCTGGCTTAATGACCCAGCCAATACAAATCAAGGTCCACTTCAAAAGCAGGAGCGGAGATCCTTCCCCCAGACTTTGCCAACTTTTGGACTCAGGAAAACAAGATGCCAAAAGCCCACTGAGTGCGAGAGTTTTTCCGTGCTATTTATCCCTAGCGAAAGGGCCACAAATGACCTGACCCAAAACCTGTTCTGGGCCCAGGAGATGCAAGGCAGAACTCTCAGCCCAAAACGTCAGCCTTGTTTGTGTTCATTTTAGTGAAGCGCACAGACTTAGACTTTCTCTGAAATAAATGAGTACAGATGAATCAGAGCCATTCAATTAAATAGCCTGGTAGACTCTTCTGTGCTTTTTTGAGTGCCTTATTCAATTTCCAGCCCTTGAAAAAATGCAAGAATTAATGCAACAGCACACAATGAGAAATTCAGAAATTATCAAGACCCTTATGAAACGTAAGACAAAAGGGCAAGCCAGAAGAAATGGTCCTAAACTTAAATGAAAGTACTTCAAAGTGATTCAAGGTTAGAGGACTTAAGAAGTTTCTATTGCAGCTGTCTGTGGGTTCTTTCACCGTTTTGCAGGCTGAATCCATTTGTGTTTGGACCGATGTTTTCCTTCAATCTGCATTCCAGTGTTCTTTTGGTGAAGGGCTGTCTAAGAGCTTTGTCATGGGTGCCACAAATGGTGATTCAGTGCAGCACTGCAAACAATTTGAAATAAGCTGGAGCTGAACTGCAGAAAGTTCCATTGTTTTGCTACTACAGGCACACTCGACCTGATTCAGGAAAGATGTGATTCAGACATCCCCTATTTTCCACTGCTCTCTCTCCATCTTCCTGTTAGATCAGCCCAGGCATTTTGATGCTTGAGATGTTGACTGTTCTTCTAATGCTTGTGGTTAGATAATGCCCACCACACCTGAGAAAAGAAACTAGTTTAGGGGGCTCAAAGACAGGCCCAGTAGAATACATAGCTCTGTCCTTAAGCAGAGGGGAAATACAGGGGGCTGAGGACAACAAAGCCAGGAGCTACCGCTGCTGCTCATTCTCCAGCCATCGGCTGCCTGAGGAGGTGGCCCCATTCTGCCTAACGGTAGGGCCAGCCCTGCTTTCTCAACTACTGTTTCCATGCTCTTCCACCATCCTTCCTGGGCAGCTACTAAAAAGAGATAAAACAGAATACAAAATACAACAATTGCGAACATAAAGTTACATAAAACAGCAGCTACAAGTGCAGCAGCACTGTAGAAGTTCTGAAAGACCTCCTCTCCCCCCAAAAAACCCCCATATTGACCTGCTGCAGCCAAGATACTGCTAATGCTGGTAACAGGAAGCGGTGTGAGGGGGAGACCATAAAAACTGTGGCTCATAGTCAGGGCCGTCTTAACGCCTGGGCCTGATGGGCACTTGCCTGTGGGCCTCATACTAATCTGTGCATGTTAACACTTGGAAAATTGGAAAACTTCCAGAATTAACAGTAGTTGTAGTTGTCGTAGGGGCCCCAGTACACTGCTTTGCCCGGGGCCCATCATGCTGTTAAGACGGCTCTGCTCATAGTAACAATTAAGGTCTCTTAACATATATGTTAGCATCGGGAAAAGCAAAAGTCTTAATGGAAGATTGCAGAATTTAAATCCTCTGTGCAGCGGGAAGAGTCCACTGGTGCCAGTGATATGGACAAAGCCCTTGCAGAAACCAATGGTTGCACCATAATTTATTTATTTATTTATTCAACTTATTTATTCAACTTATTCATTTATTCAACTTATATTCCACACTAATTAGTCCAAAGGACTTTCTAAGCAGAGTACAAAGAAGCAAAAAAACAGCATTATACAATAAGAAACACACACACACACACATGTAATAACAATATGCAATAAAATATATGCAATGCAGCTGGTTAAAGCTATATGTTAAAACTAAAGAACATTATGAAATTATATACCTTAAAACTGAACAGTACAAAATCAATTATTGATTATTAATCTGTTGTGCTAACAAGTGGTTATTCATTTATTTATTATATTTACATCCCACACTTCTCTCTGCATGGAATCAAATTCTCCTCCTCTCCATTTTATCTGCACAACAACCCCTGCGAGGTAGGCTAGCCTGAGAGCCAGTAACTGTCCTACTGAACTTAATGGGCAAGTGAGGATTAGAACCCGGATCTGCCAGGTTCTGTTCCATCACTGTAACCACCGTGCCATCTGGTCTCTGCAAGTGCTATTGATAATGTGCAACTGTTGATTTGCACGAACAACATCAGATGCCCCCCAAGATATTCCTTTGGGATGTACTAATTGTCACCTTCGATTTTCATGTTATTCCTTTATGGCAGATTCAGAGGACTGAATTTCTACCCAGAAGAGGCCACGGGAAGGATACTACTTCCATCCACGCATATAAAGGAGTCTTAAAAACTGATTCTGCTAATGAAAATGGGCACCAATGGAACGGAGGCATTGCTCTCCAGGAAAGGGAAATAAGTCTTAATCACACTGTTCTTGCTGTAGAAGGAACTACAGGGGATACGACTGATCCCCAAAGGAGTTACCACCATGAAAGTGAGAGCCAACTTCTCCATGAAGGCACCAACCTTACACAGACCTCAGGCAACAGCTGGCATGACACGCAGGAAAGCAGGTACATGTATGCTAATTTCCCAAAGCAAGCAGTGGTTAGCAACCAACATGCAGACCGATACAGAAAGGCTAGCAACCCCAGGCATGTTGACAATGAGCATTTGGGAGAGGGAAACACAATTCACGGTCCAGGATCAGCAACAACAGAAGTTGACATTGTCCACAAGGCAGATATCTCTGTTGACAAACTGTACCTCAAGGGCTTCGATGCTGGTGATGACCTTAAAGCAAAGGAAAACAGGGGAGCACTCCACAACCACCATTATAATTCTGACAGCTATGTTTTAAATGATGGAGGCATGCAAGGAGATGACCCAGGTTTTGCTGATGACTCTGACTCTAAAGAGGGCCAGAGCAATTCTAGCCAGCAGCATGGGGAACCAGACAGTCCGAGTGACTCAGAGGAGGAAGGATCAAAATGGTCTGGCCCTTCAGAAGGCTCAAATGGATCCTCTGATCCCAGCAGCTCCAGTGACTCTAGCAGTCCCAGTGTTTCTAGCAGTGCAAGTGGTTCCAGTGATTCCAGTAGTTCCAGTGATGCCAGTGACTCCAGTGAGTCTTCTGAGTCCAGCAGCTCCAGTGACTCCAGTGAGTCTTCTGAGTCCAGCAGCTCCAGTGATTCCAGTGACTCCAGTGAATCTTCTGAGTCCAACAGCTCCAGTGATTCCAGTGACTCCAGTAAGTCTTCTGAGTCCAGCAGCTCCAGTGATTCCAGTGACTCCAGTAAGTCTTCTGAGTCCAGCAGCTCCAGTGATTCCAGTGACTCCAGTAAGTCTTCTGAGTCCAGCAGCTCCAGTGACTCCAGTGACTCCAGTAAGTCTTCTGAGTCCAGCAGCTCCAGTGACTCCAGTGAGTCCAGTGAGTCTTCTGAGTCCAGCAGCTCCAGTGACTCCAGTGAGTCTTCTGAGTTCAGCAGCTCCAGTGATTCCAGTGACTCCAGTGAGTCTTCTGAGTCCAGCAGCTCCAGTGACTCCAGTGAGTCCAGTGAGTCTTCTGAGTCCAGCAGCTCCAGTGACTCCAGTGAGTCTTCTGAGTTCAGCAGCTCCAGTGATTCCAGTGACTCCAGTGAGTCTTCTGAGTCCAGCAGCTCCAGTGACTCCAGTGAGTCTTCTGAGTCCAGCAGCTCCAGTGATTCCAGTGACTCTGGTGAGTCTTCTGAGTCCAGCAGTTCCAGTGATTCCAGCAATCAAAGCGATTCCAACAACTCTAGTGATTCCAGTGATTCCAGTGACTCTGGTGAGTCTTCTGATTCCAGCAGCTCCAATGATCCCAGCAGTCAAAGTGATTCTAGCAGCTCCACCGACTCCAGTGAGTCTTCTGATTCCAGCAGCTCCAATGATCCCAGCAGTCAAAGTGATTCTAGCAGCTCCACTGACTCCAGTGAGTCTTCTGAGTCCAGCAGCTCTAGTGATTCCAGCAGCTCCAGTGATTCCAGTGACTCTGGTGAGTCTTCTGAGTCTAGCAGCTCCAGTGATTCTAGCAATCAAAGTGATTCCAGCAGCTCCAGTGAGTCTTCTGAGTCCAGCAGTTCCAGTGATTCCAGTAGTCAAAGTGATTCCAGCAGCTCCAGTGACTCCAGTGACTCGAGTGAGTCTTCTGAGTCCAGAAGTTCCAGCAGTCAAAGTGATTCCAGCAGCTCCAGTGATTCCAACAGCTCCAGTGATTCCAGTGGTGCCAATAGTTCTAATGGCAATAGAAGCTCCAGTGACTCCAGCAATGCTGATCATTCCAGCAGCTCCAGATAACAGTTTGAGAAGTCACTGAAATAGTACCAATGATACCAATAGGCTTCAGTGCCACGGACAAAGTTGCAGGGCAGCTGTTAACAAAATCAGTCCAGACAGTAGGACTGCAGGCAAAACTGTGATACTGAAATGAGTAGTGTGAACAGTGGCCACAGTATTGAGGCAACAGTTTGGTAGAGTAACTTTCATTATTGTTATGGTGGCTGCCTCACTCCACTGGGACCGAAAAGCTGATAAGATTATTCTACTTCAAGGTGAATTCCCAACCATTGGCATCTTCCATTACAAGAGGGATGGCAAGGAATGTAAATTTGCAGAGATTCTTGGAAAACCCAGGTCACAGAAACTAATTAGAACCCAGTGTATATTCACACAATCTAGGTGTGTTCCACAGTTTAAAAAAATCCCTCTTTTTGCAGATCAAACTAGAAATTATAGCTGTGTGATAAGTATTTTCCAGGATTCTTTGAAGGAAGCCATGACAGTTAAGGTGGCATAAATCCAAACCAGGCATGAAGTGTGATTCTGCATGCAGCAGAAGCATGACTGATGTTGTCCCCACACTCATCATGTGTAAGAGCAGCCCCAGACCTCATGTCCATGTATCCTTGCGCATTAATGAGCTCCCTTATGGCAAAAGGTTCTGCTATTAGAATGATACCTTAATACAAGCCTTGGATGCATAGAGATGTCCTCAAATTGCTACAGGCAGGGAAACTAGTCCGTACTGAAGATGATAGTCACATCCCCTCTCCCTTGTATTTTCTGCGGGTTTTTGGGCATTTGTTTTCTTAACTTATTTTGGGGATTGTGGTTTCCTTTTTGAGCTAGGGTGTGGAAACTTGAGAAAACAACAAAAGCTGTGTGCTGAAGCTGTTGAAAGGGTGACTCCAGAGGTTGCTGCAAATTTCTTAGCAAGAATGGTGAAAACATCCCTTTCAACAGGCCTATGAAAAGTAATAAAAAAATTAAACATCCAGATTTCGGCTATCAAAAAAGGTCATTTGCACACTTGGTTGTCTGTTTTTCAAAGCTGTGCCAATGGGATCCTACAGTTTGCTTTCATATCTATATCCATAGATTCCATGCAATCATCAACCCAGTTAGAGTCCTGGGAATTGTTTTAACCATCCTTCTAATCACAAAGCAGTGAGGAGGAATGAGAGACCAATGAAGATAGCATCCAAACATTGCAAAAAAGTCTGAGGATGGAACTGAACATTACAAAGAAGACTGGACTGGGGGAATGTCTACTGCTCCCCTTTGGGAGCAGGGGAAACATTTTCTTACACTGATTAATACAGAGCAATAAACCTTTCTTTTCCAGAGGTTCCATTCTTGTTTGTGGCGTAAATTCCACAACAAGTATTTTTGCAGAGTTGGTTAGTTCCTTCATTGTGGATTTCATGCCTCTCACCACCAGGAAATCAGTATCTGCATTGGCATTCTTGGGTACAATCTGTCCAGCAGGGAATCGGGCCGACTGCAACCAAGGGTTCCAGAGTCCTGTGCAGAACCACCAGGGCAATCCAAGGGAAGCTGGTGACTCACTGGGGTTCATCATCCACTGCAACCAGCACGCAGAGCTGGATGGGAGCTATCCGTGGTGCTGAACTCTACCCCCACTCCCAGCAAGTTTGCTGCTTCATAGCACCATGGATAGCTCCCATGAAGCTCAAAATAAGAGCTGCTATGGACAAGGAGGCCGAGTGAGCTAGGAGCCTCGAGATGCCTTCCTTTGCGTGCCCAAGAAACCACTACTTATCCCAATTTTATTTCTTATTTTTTCTTAATGGAAGCTAAGATTGTTTCATAGTGATCTGGGAGCCTCTGGGCACTTAATTTCTCATAAATGTCTCAAGGCAGGTTGTTGTCCAGGGGATTTGATGTTTGCATAATTGCATGGATATTTGAACTGCCTTTGTTGAACTCTTTGCACCACTATAGTTATGCATACTAGTATACCTTGGTTTCTATAAAATATAATACTATTTTATTCTGATTCAATAAACATTAATATGTATTTCTCTTTTGTTCTGCTCAATAACTGAAGCTTTCCGGGAAATGCATAGCAATTCTCAAAACACAAAACAACACAAAACAACATTAAGAATTCAGTATACAGGTGTAATGTTTTATTTTATTCCTCTGATGTTTTTATTTTGTTTTTGATTTAATGGAATCTATAATTAAATTAGTGAATAAAATAAAGACTATCTGTCCTTTGTGACTGTTTATACCCATTCATGACAGCCATCTTTTGCTTGTGTCCAAGACAATTTCTCAAATTTCTAAATATGACTGCAGGCCCAAAAGATTGCTTGCTTCCGATCAGGGAGAGACAGCCTGATACTCTCTTGATGCTTTGGACTATAACTCCCATCAGCCACCGCCAGAAGGGCCAGTGGTTGGAGATTATGAGACTTGTGGTCTGAAACATCTGGACAGCACCAGGATGCCTGCCCTTGTTACAGAAAAACAGGGGGAAAGTTAACACCTTTAGGAAAGAGGAGATGCGGCAAGAAGTCCTACTGAGAGGACATGATCATGGATTGTCTGCAAGATGCAAAGCCCTCTCATCTTACTTGGCTTGGACAATTGTTGCTGGGAAGATGGGCTTGCCTCATTTTTGTGTCCAGTGATGTTTTTAAATTGCATCCTACCTCTTGTTTCTGCAGAGGGAAAATTCTGATTCCAGTTGGTGATTCTGCAGCCTCTCAGCCTCTGCCCTGTCCTGCCGCTGGCTGTAACTGGGATCGGACGTGTCTTCTGCTCCACTGCCACTGGCAGAGCCTCTCTATCAGATGAGCACTTCCAGCTCAACCCAACCCTGTCCCACCAGAGACTGCAATTGGCGATAGGGCTGCATTACAGGATAATGCCCAAGGCTAAACCATTGCAAAGGTTGGCACAGTGTCTAGAGAGCAGGCTTGGTCCCCTCCTCTCGATAGTCAAATTCAAAGTCATCCAATGAAATTGATTAGCAGAAGATGGAGCTCAGAGAAGAAAAAAGAACTTATTTCACACCATGCACAGCTAATTGGGCTCTGGTACATTTAAAAAGGGGTTGAGATGAATTCATGGAGAAGAGAGCAATGAATGAGGACCAGCTGTGAACCAAGATGGCTAGTAGAACGTCCAGGTTCAGAAGGAGTGGAGCACTGAATACGAGCTCCTGAGGGTCATGGTGAGAGTTGCTGCCCTGCATTCTTTGCAGTCTTCTCAGAATGGATCTGGGAAAGCAGGCCCTAGATGGATGTCTGTGGTAGTTCAAGAGGCTGTAACTCACTTCTCATGCGGCTGCTATTTCAAAACTGAATCTCCATTCTCTATAACAGGGTTGCACAGTCCAGGACAAAATCCCGTCTGTCTAGACACCTAATCTGCTTCCAGTCTCACCCAAATGCACGCATCCCCTTCCCATGGCCCCTATCATGACTCCAAACATTAACTGTGATCTCCCAGCTTCTGCCCATTTGCCCCCTTTCTAAATGGTGGAAATGCCTTGCCAAAGGTGCAGTAGGCACATTCCTGATCACTATGTACAGGTATGAAAGCTGCCAGGAAGTAAACATGGTGTTGGAGGAGAGCTTTGTGAATACCCAAGCTGACAGAATGACGAACAAGTGGATCCTAGATCAAATTGAGCCAGAGCTTTCCCTAGAAGCAAAAATGACAAAACTGAGGCTGTCCTACTTTGCACACATCATGAGGAAGACAAAACTCCCTGGAGAGAACAATCATGCTAGAGAAAGTCAAAGGCAGAAGACAAAAGGAGAGACCAAATAAGAGATGGATGGACTCCCTAAAGGAAGCCACAACCTTGAATTTAGAACAGCCAAGCAAGGATACCATGGATAGAACATTTTGGAAGAGTTCCATCCATAGGGTTGCCATAAGCTGAAGATGACTAGATTGCACAAAACACAGCAAGATGTAGTTACTAGTGGTAAGAGCTGCAAGGTAAACTATGTCAGTATTTTGGTCTTTACTCCTTTGACTTTGGCCCTGCCCCTTTTCCCCACAGTCCTGTCCACCACTGGAATGAGACTCCCACAAAGCTTGTCCAAAATTGAACCCTTCCCTGGGCTAAAAGAGACTCTACACACCTGTTTTAAAACATATAATTCTGCCGTGAGTGATGCCTCTTTTCACTACCTGCAAAGTGACAGAACTAACTTTGGAAAACCTCTGTTTCCCCTCATTGGCAATTCTAAAGCTTCCCTTACTACATAAGCCCACATTCTCTTTCCTGCCCCTTCATATTTTTCTTACTAAAATGCTTGGAAAAGTAACTTATTCAAGGACTTATATACAAGGCAGATGTATGCACAGCTTTCCCAATCTGCTGGATTGGTTTGCTAAATTACATTTCCCCTGAAAAATGTTTCTCTGGACAAAACCTTCCCTCTGTCTCCTCCTTGTTTCAGCTCCCATACGAGTCTGAGGTTTGCTGCCACCACCATACATTTAGTGGTGATCCTTGGCAAGTTGGCACCGATCCATTGAGGTTTTGATAGAGGAAGACAGCAGTATTGGTGTCAGGACTTTACCCCAATGTAATCCTTCTAAATGCCCCACTCTCCCCAAGAAGAAGCACCACCCGGTTTGGAAAGCTAGAGTCAAGAAGAGTAGTGCAGTTTTCAGCCACTGTTCCTAAGATGCTGAGAAACCTGTCTTCTTATTGCAAGGGTACACAACCTTTTTGTCCTGTGGGCCGCATATCATATTGGCTCAGGGACCAGAAGGCTGTATGCATGCATGCACACTTACTGCTGATCTGGATATACACGAGGGTTCTTCAAAAAGTTTCCTTACTTTTTAAACTCTATGTATTAAGAATTTCAAAAACAAATTACATCACTTTTCTACATAGACACCTTCCTTTGCATTTTCCCCAGCGCATTACCAACTTTTTAATGCCATCAGCAAAAAATACATAAAATATATTTATAAAATATAAAAGTGCAGAAACGTTTTGAAGATCCCTCATATTATTC